TGGTGGTGAGTTGGCTCCGATGGTGGGGGAGGATGCCGGTCAGACCTGGCAGACCCAAACGTATTGTGAGGGTTTGCTGGGAACATCTGGCAGAGTCTCCTGTGAGACGGAGTTTCAACTCCCACTTCCGGGAGAACTTTGAACATGTTCAAAGGGAGGTGGGGGACATTGAGTCTGAGTGGACCATGTTTCGTGTCTCTCTTGTCGAGGCGGCTTACCAGAGCTGCGGCCGCAAGGTTGTCGGTGCCTGTCGCGGCGGCAACCCTCGAACCCGATGGTGGACACCGTCGGTGAGGGATGCTGTCAGGATGAAGAAGGAGTCCTATCGTGCCTTTTTGGCCTGTGGGACCCCGGAAGCAGCTGATGGGTACCGGCAGTCCAAGCGACATGCGGCTCAGGTGGTTGCTGAGGCAAAAACTCGGGCATGGGAGGAGTTCGGAGAGGCCATGGAGAACGACTTCCGCACAGCTTTGAGGCAATTCTGGTCCACTATCCGGCGTCTTGGGGGGGGGGGAAGCAGTACGCCACCAACACTGTTTATAGTGGGAGTGGTGTGCTGCTGACCTCAACTCGGGATGTTGTGGGTCGGTGGGCGGAATACTTTGAAGACCTCCTCAATCCCACCGGCACGTCTTCCACTGAGGAAGCGGAGCCTGGGGACTCTGGGTCGGGCCCTCCAATCTCTGGTGCTGAGGTCACCGAGGTGGTTAAAAAGCTCCTTGGTGGCAGGGCCCCGGAGGTGGATGAGATTCGCCCAGAGTTCCTTAAGGCTCTGGATGTTGTAGGGTTGTGTTGGCTTACGCGACTCTGCAATATTGCGTGGACATCGGGGGAAGTTCCCCTGGATTGGCAGACCGGGGTGGTGGTCCTCCTATTCAAAAAGGGGGACCGTAGAGTGTGTTCCAACTACAGGGGAATCACGCTCTTAAGCCTCCCTGGTAAGGTCTATTCGGGGGTTCTAGAGAGGAGGGTCCGTCGGATAGTCGAACCTCGGATTCAGGAGGAGCAGTGCGGTTTTTGTCCTGGCCGTGGAACACTAGACCAGCTCTACACTCTCAGCAGGGTCCTAGAGGGTGTGTGGGAGTTTGCCCAACCAGTCTACATGTGCTTTGTGGACTTGGAGAAGGCGTTCGACTGCGTCCCTCGGGGGACCCTGTGGGGGGTACTCTGGGAGTATGGGGTACCGGGCCCTTTGATACGGGCTATTAGGTCCCTATATGACCGGTGTCAGAGCCTGGTCCGCATCGCCGGCAGTAAGTCGGGCTTGTTCCCGGTGAGAGTTGGACTCCGCCAAGGTTGCCCTTTGTCACGATTCTGTTCATAACTTTTATGGACAGAATTTCTAGGCGCAGCCAAGGTGTTGAGGGGATCCATTTTGGTGGCCTTAGGATTGCTTCTCTGCTTTTTGCAGATGATGTGGTCTTATTGGCTTCATCAGATCGTGATCTACAGCTTTCGATGGAGCGGTTCGCAGCCGAATGCGACGCGGCCGGGAT